CTATCTATCGATATAGCTTGATTTCTAGCAGACAAACGGATAGAAAGAGCAGATTTAATTACTCATTGTCTTGCAATGAGGTTAGTTTTCTTTTTCGTGCTTGTTTCTTGCAGTTTTTAGTCATTTCCCTATTTGACCCCAAATGTCGATTTCCCTATTTGACCCCGAGCGCGTCGATCACTCAGCTGATTTATTTAGAGAAAACTTGTAACCCTCGTTGCAGGATGTGTGAAATTTGGATGAATATGAAGAGAATGTGTATTTTATATTGATATTTCTACCTTTTGCTATTTATTTTTAGTTAAATCGATGCTTTTCAACGTGTTTTGCCTATTTGCTCCCGTCGCTACGGAGGAGACACGCATCAAGCTAACGTAGAAGAAAAACATTATCATTTATTCTGTAAAAATTGCCATAGTTGAATAAATAAGCATCTAAAAGGTAGATTGAGGCATGCCGAATCCGATTCTGAGGTTGGTTTTGAGATATCTGTCCAATTTTTGGAGTTATTAACGATTTCCCTATATGACCCCGATTTCCCTATTTGACCCCGTTCCCTATTTGACCCCGAGCGCTACCAACATGATTGTAATTTGTTGACAATTGCTGACCATATTTGAACTCGCCGTACCTTCAAGAATATAATCTGTTAAATTTTCGTTTCAGTATCTTGCATAGTTTCAGAGAAAATCGCATTCATACAAAGATAAATCAAGATTTTTTGTTTCATATACAAAATCAGAAATCTAAGGGTTTACTTTGTACGGTTGAGATTTTACAAAAAACTATGAAACTAAGGAACTAGAAAAAGTCAAAATTATAAATTAAAAAGTCAACCACACCAGAAAAACAAGTTTTTGAGACATTTAAAAACATTTTTGAGTTCTCTAATGCCGATGAAAGTTTGAAATTACAAAGTTTTTAAGGAAATTTTTTAAGCTGCATTTTGAAAACAAACATTTCAATTGTAAATAAAACATGAACCAGATAATTTGTTGACAATTGCTGACCATATTTGAACTCGCCGTACCTTCAAGAATAATCTGTTAAATTTTCGTTTCAGTATCTTGCATAGTTTTCAGAGAAAATTGCATTCATACAAAGATAAATCAAGATTTTTTGTTTCATATACAAAATCAGAAATCTAAGGGTTTACTTTGTACGGTTGAGATTTTACAAAAAACTATGAAACTAAGGAACTAGAAAAAGTCAAATTATAAATTAAAAAGTCAACCACACCAGAAAAACAAGTTTTTAGGACATTTAAAAACACTTTTGAGTTCTCTAATGCCGCTGAAAGTTTGAATTTACAAAGTTTTTAAGGAAATTTTTTAAGCTGCATTTTGAAAACAAACATTTCAATTGTAAATAAAACATGAACCAGATAATTTGTTGACAATTGCTGACCATATTTGAACTCGCCGTACCTTCAAGAATAATCTGTTAAATTTTCGTTTCAGTATCTTGCATAGTTTCAGAGAAAATTGCATTCATACAAAGATAAATCAAGATTTTTTGTTTCATATACAAAATCAGAAATCTAAGGGTTTACTTTGTACGGTTGAGATTTTACAAAAAACTATGAAACTAAGGAACTAGAAAAAGTCAAAATTATAAATTAAAAAGTCAACCACACCAGAAAAACAAGTTTTTGGACATTTAAAAACACTTTTGAGTTCTCTAATGCCGCTGAAAGTTTGAATTTACAAAGTTTTTAAGGAAATTTTTTAAGCTGCATTTTGAAAACAAACATTTCAATTGTAAATAAAACATGAACCAGATAATTTGTTGACAATTGCTGACCATATTTGAACTCGCCGTACCTTCAAGAATAATCTGTTAAATTTTCGTTTCAGTATCTTGCATAGTTTAGAGAAAATTGCATTCATACAAAGATAAATCAAGATTTTTTGTTTCATATACAAAATCAGAAATCTAAGGGTTTACTTTGTACGGTTGAGATTTTACAAAAAACTATGAAACTAAGGAACTAGAAAAAGTCAAAATTATAAATTAAAAAGTCAACCACACCAGAAAAACAAGTTTTTAGGACATTTAAAAACACTTTTGAGTTCTCTAATGCCGCTGAAAGTTTGAATTTACAAAGTTTTTAAGGAAATTTTTTAAGCTGCATTTTGAAAACAAACATTTCAATTGTAAATAAAACATGAACCAGATAATTTGTTGACAATTGCTGACCATATTTGAACTCGCCGTACCTTCAAGAATAATCTGTTAAATTTTCGTTTCAGTATCTTGCATAGTTTCAGAGAAAATTGCATTCATACAAAGATAAATCAAGATTTTTTGTTTCATATACAAAATCAGAAATCTAAGGGTTTACTTTGTACGGTTGAGATTTTACAAAAAACTATGAAACTAAGGAACTAGAAAAAGTCAAAATTATAAATTAAAAAGTCAACCACACCAGAAAAACAAGTTTTTGAGGACATTTAAAAACACTTTTGAGTTCTCTAATGCCGCTGAAAGTTTGAATTACAAAGTTTTTAAGGAAATTTTTTAAGCTGCATTTTGAAAACAAACATTTCAATTGTAAATAAAACATGAACCAGATAATTTGTTGACAATTGCTGACCATATTTGAACTCGCCGTACCTTCAAGAATAATCTGTTAAATTTTCGTTTCAGTATCTTGCATAGTTTCAGAGAAAATTGCATTCATACAAAGATAAATCAAGATTTTTTGTTTCATATACAAAATCAGAAATCTAAGGGTTTACTTTGTACGGTTGAGATTTTACAAAAAACTATGAAACTAAGGAACTAGAAAAAGTCAAAATTATAAATTAAAAAGTCAACCACACCAGAAAAACAAGTTTTTAGGACATTTAAAAACACTTTTGAGTTCTCTAATGCCGCTGAAAGTTTGAATTTACAAAGTTTTTAAGGAAATTTTTTAAGCTGCATTTTGAAAACAAACATTTCAATTGTAAATAAAACATGAACCAGATAATTTGTTGACAATTGCTGACCATATTTGAACTCGCCGTACCTTCAAGAATAATCTGTTAAATTTTCGTTTCAGTATCTTGCATAGTTTCAGAGAAAATTGCATTCATACAAAGATAAATCAAGATTTTTTGTTTCATATACAAAATCAGAAATCTAAGGGTTTACTTTGTACGGTTGAGATTTTACAAAAAACTATGAAACTAAGGAACTAGAAAAAGTCAAAATTATAAATTAAAAAGTCAACCACACCAGAAAAACAAGTTTTTGAGACATTTAAAAACATTTTTGAGTTCTCTAATGCCGATGAAAGTTTGAAATTACAAAGTTTTTAAGGAAATTTTTTAAGCTGCATTTTGAAAACAAACATTTCAATTGTAAATAAAACATGAACCAGATAATTTGTTGACAATTGCTGACCATATTTGAACTCGCCGTACCTTCAAGAATAATCTGTTAAATTTTCGTTTCAGTATCTTGCATAGTTTTAGAGAAAATTGCATTCATACAAAGATAAATCAAGATTTTTTGTTTCATATACAAAATCAGAAATCTAAGGGTTTACTTTGTACGGTTGAGATTTTACAAAAAACTATGAAACTAAGGAACTAGAAAAAGTCAAAATTATAAATTAAAAAGTCAACCACACCAGAAAAACAAGTTTTTAGGACATTTAAAAACACTTTTGAGTTCTCTAATGCCGCTGAAAGTTTGAATTTACAAAGTTTTTAAGGAAATTTTTTAAGCTGCATTTTGAAAACAAACATTTCAATTGTAAATAAAACATGAACCAGATAATTTGTTGACAATTGCTGACCATATTTGAACTCGCCGTACCTTCAAGAGTAATCTGTTAAATTTTCGTTTCAGTATCTTGCATAGTTTAGAGAAAATTGCATTCATACAAAGATAAATCAAGATTTTTTGTTTCATATACAAAATCAGAAATCTAAGGGTTTACTTTGTACGGTTGAGATTTTACAAAAAACTATGAAACTAAGGAACTAGAAAAAGTCAAAATTATAAATTAAAAAGTCAACCACACCAGAAAAACAAGTTTTTAGGACATTTAAAAACACTTTTGAGTTCTCTAATGCCGCTGAAAGTTTGAATTTACAAAGTTTTTAAGGAAATTTTTTAAGCTGCATTTTGAAAACAAACATTTCAATTGTAAATAAAACATGAACCAGATAATTTGTTGACAATTGCTGACCATATTTGAACTCGCCGTACCTTCAAGAATAATCTGTTAAATTTTCGTTTCAGTATCTTGCATAGTTTTAGAGAAAATCGCATTCATACAAAGATAAATCAAGATTTTTTGTTTCATATACAAAATCAGAAATCTAAGGGTTTACTTTGTACGGTTGAGATTTTACAAAAAACTATGAAACTAAGGAACTAGAAAAAGTCAAAATTATAAATTAAAAAGTCAACCACACCAGAAAAACAAGTTTTTTGAGACATTTAAAAACATTTTTGAGTTCTCTAATGCCGATGAAAGTTTGAAATTACAAAGTTTTTAAGGAAATTTTTTAAGCTGCATTTTGAAAACAAACATTTCAATTGTAAATAAAACGTGAACCAGATAATTTGTTGACAATTGCTGACCATATTTGAACTCGCCGTACCTTCAAGAATAATCTGTTAAATTTTCGTTTCAGTATCTTGCATAGTTTTAGAGAAAAGCGCATTCATACAAAGATAAATCAAGATTTTTTGTTTCATATACAAAATCAGAAATCTAAGGGTTTACTTTGTACGGTTGAGATTTTACAAAAACTATGAAACTAAGGAACTAGAAAAGTCAAAATTATAAATTAAAAAGTCAACCACACCAGAAAAACAAGTTTTTGAGACATTTAAAAACATTTTTGAGTTCTCTAATGCCGATGAAAGTTTGAAAATTACAAAGTTTGGACCAAATGATTTGAACTCGCCGTACCTTCAAGAGTAATCTGTTAAATTTTCGTTTCAGTATCTTGCATAGTTTTAGAGAAAATCGCATTCATACAAAAGATAAATCAAGATTTTTTGTTTCATATACAAAATCAGAAATCTAAGGGTTTACTTTGTACGGTTGAGATTTTACAAAAAACTATGAAACTAAGGAACTTCTCTAATGCCGCTGAAAGTTTGAATTTACAAAGTTTTTAAGGAAATTTTTTAAGCTGCATTTTGAAAACAAACAATTCAATTGTAAATAAAACATGAACCAGATAATTTATTGACAATTGCTGACCATATTTTAAATCGCCGTACCTTCAAGAAATATCTGTTAAATTTTCGTTTCAGTATCTTGCATAGTTTTAGAGAAAATCGCATTCATACAAAGATAAATCAAGATTTTTTGTTTCATATACAAAATCAGAAATCTAAGGGTTTACTTTGTAAGGTTGAGATTTTACAAAAAACTATGAAACTAAGGAACTAGAAAAAGTCAAAATTATAAATTAAAAAGTCAACCACACCAGAAAAACAAGTTTTTGAGACATTTAAAAACATTTTTGAGTTCTCTAATGCCGATGAAAGTTGAAATTACAAAGTTTTTAAGGAAATTTTTTAAGCTGCATTTTGAAAACAAACATTTCAATTGTAAATAAAACATGAACCAGATAATTTGTTGACAGTTGCTGACCATATTTGAACTCGCCGTACCTTCAAGAATAATCTGTTAAATTTTCGTTTCAGTATCTTGCATAGTTTCAGAGAAAATTCGCATTCATACAAAGATAAATCCAAATTTTATGTTTCATATACAAAATCAGAAATCTAAGGGTTTACTTTGTACGGTTGAGATTTTACAAAAAACTATGAAACTAAGGAACTAGAAAAAGTCACATTTATAAATTAAAAAGTCAACCACACCAGAAAACAAGTTTTTAGGACATTTAAAAACACTTTTGAGTTCTCTAATGCCGCTGAAAGTTTGAATTTACAAAGTTTTTAAGGAAATTTTTTAAGCTGCATTTTGAAAACAAACATTTCAATTGTAAATAAAACATGTACCAGATAATTTGTTGACAATTGCTGACCATATTTGAACTTGCCGTACCTTCAACAATAATCTGTTAAATTTTCGTTTCAGTATCTTGCATAGTTTTAGAGAAAATCGCATTCATACAAAGATAATCAAGATTTTTTGTTTCATATACAAAATCAGAAATCTAAGGGTTTACTTTGTACGGTTGAGATTTTACAAAAAACTATGAAACTAAGGAACTAGAAAAAGTCAAAATCATCAAATAAGAAGTCAACCACACCTGAAAAAAAAGTTTTTGAGACATTTAAAAACATTTTTGAGTTCTCTAATGCCGATGAAAGTTTGAAATTACAAAGTTTTTAAGGAAATTTTTTAAGCTGCATTTTGAAAACAAACATTTCAATTGTAAATCAAACATGAACCAGATAATTTGTTGACAATTGCTGACCATATTTGAACTCGCCGTACCTTCAAGAATAATCTGTTAAATTTTCGTTTCAGTATCTTGCATAGTTTCAGAGAAAATTGCATTCATACAAGATAAATCAAGATTTTTTGTTTCATATACAAAATCAGAAATCTAAGGGTTTACTTTGTACGGTTGAGATTTTACAAAAAACTATGAAACTAAGGAACTAGAAAAAGTCAAAATCATCAATTCAAAAGTCAACCACACCAGAAAAACAAGTTTTTGAGACATTTAAAAACATTTTTGAGTTCTCTAATGCCGATGAAAGTTTGAAATTACAAAGTTTTTAAGGAAATTTTTTAAGCTGCATTTTGAAAAGAAACATTTCAATTGTAAATAAATTATGAACCAGATACTTTGTTGACAGTTGCTGACCATATTTGAACTCGCCGTACCTTCGAGAATAATCTGTCAAATTTTCGTTTCAGTATCTTGCATAGTTTTAGAGAAAATCGCATTCATACAAAGATAAATCAAGCTTTTATGTTTCATATACAAAATGAGAAATCTAAGGGTTTACTTTGTACGTTGAGCTTTTACGAAAAAATTAGAAACTAAGGAACTAGAAAAAGTCAAAATTATAAATTAAAAAGTCAACCACAACAGGAAAACAAGTTTTTAGGACATTTGAAAACAAACATTTCTCTAATGCCGCTGAAAGTTTGAATTTACAAAGTTTTTGAGGAAATTTTTTAAGCTGCATTTTGAAAACAAACATTTCAATTATAAATAAAACATGAACCAGATATTTTGTTGACAATTGCCGACCATATTTGAACTCGCCGTACCCTCAAGAGTAATCTGTTAAATTTTCGTTTCAGTATCTTGCATAGTTTTAGAGAAAATTGCATTCATACAAAGATAAATCAAGATTTTTTGTTTCATATACAAAATCAGAAATCTAAGGGTTTACTTTGTACGGTTGAGATTTTACAAAAAACTATGAAACTAAGGAACTAGAAAAGTCAAAATTATAAATTAAAAAGTCAACCACACCAGAAAAACAAGTTTTTGAGACATTTAAAACATTTTTGAGTTCTCTAATGCCGATGAAAGTTTGAAATTACAAAGTTTTTAAGGAAATTTTTTAAGCTGCATTTTGAAAACAAACATTTCAATTGTAAATAAAACATGAACTAGATGATTTGTTGACAATTGCTGACCATATTTGAACTTGCCGTACCTTCAAGAATAATCTGTTAAATTTTCGTTTCAGTATCTTGCATAGTTTTAGAGAAAATCGCATTCATACAAAGATAAATCAAGATTTTTTGTTTCATATACAAAATCAGAAATCTAAGGGTTTACTTTGTACGGTTGAGATTTTACAAAAAACTATGAAACTAAGGAACTAGAAAAAGTCAAAATTATAAATTAAAAAGTCAACCACACCAGAAAAACAAGTTTTTGAGACATTTAAAAACATTTTTGAGTTCTCTAATGCCGATGAAAGTTTGAAATTACAAAGTTTTTAAGGAAATTTTTTAAGCTGCATTTTGAAAACAAACATTTCAATTGTAAATAAAACATGAACCAGATAATTTGTTGACAATTGCTGACCATATTTGAACTCGCCGTACCTTCAAGAATAATCTGTTAAATTTTCGTTTCAGTATCTTGCATAGTTTTAGAGAAAATCGCATTCATACAAAGATAAATCAAGATTTTTTGTTTCATATACAAAATCAGAAATCTAAGGGTTTACTTTGTACGGTTGAGATTTTACAAAAACTATGAAACTAAGGAACTAGAAAAAGTCAAAATTATAATTAAAAAGTCAACCACACCAGAAAAACAAGTTTTTAGGACATTTAAAAACACTTTTGAGTTCTCTAATGCCGCTGAAAGTTTGAATTTACAAAGTTTTTAAGGAAATTTTTTAAGCTGCATTTTGAAAACAAACATTTCAATTGTAAATAAAACATGAACCAGATAATTTGTTGACAATTGCTGACCATATTTGAACTCGCCGTACCTTCAAGAATAATCTGTTAAATTTTCGTTTCAGTATCTTGCATAGTTTCAGAGAAAATTGCATTCATACAAAGATAAATCAAGATTTTTTGTTTCATATACAAAATCAGAAATCTAAGGGTTTACTTTGTACGGTTGAGATTTTACAAAAAACTATAAAACTAAGGAACTAGAAAAGTCAAAATTATAAATTAAAAAGTCAACCACACCAGAAAAACAAGTTTTTAGGACATTTAAAAACACTTTTGAGTTCTCTAATGCCGCTGAAAGTTTGAATTTACAAAGTTTTTAAGGAAATTTTTTAAGCTGCATTTTGAAAACAAACATTTTCAATTGTAAATAAAATGAACTAGATAATTTGTTGAAATTTGCTGACATATTTGAACATCGCCGTACTTCAAGAGGTCTGTTAAATTTCGTTTCAGTATCCTTGCTAGTTTAGAGAAATGATTCCTACAAAGATGAATCAAGATTTTTTGTTTCATTACAAAATCAGAAATCTAAGGGTTTACTTTGTACGGTTGAGATTTTACAAAAAACTATGAAACTAAGGAACTAGAAAAAGTCAAAATTATAAATTAAAAAGTCAACCACACCAGAAAACAAGTTTTTAGGACAATTTAAAAACACTTTTGAGTTCTCTAATGCCGCTGAAGGTTTGAATTTACAAAGTTTTTTAGGAAATTTTTTAAGCTGCATTTTGAAAACAAACATTTCAATTGTAAATAAAACATGAACCACAGATAATTTGTTGACATTGCTGACCATATTTGAACTCGCCGTACCTTCAAGAATAATCTGTTAAATTTTCGTTTCAGTATCTTGCATAGTTTCAGAGAAAATTGCATTCATACAAAGATAAATCAAGATTTTTTCTTTCATATACAAAATCAGAATTCTAAGGGTTTACTTTGTACGGTTGAGATTTTACAAAAAACTATGAAACTAAGGAACTAGAAAAAGTCACAATTATAAATTAAAAAGTCAACCACACCAGAAAAAACAAGTTTTTAGGACATTTAAAAACACTTTTGAGTTCTCTAATGCCGCTGAAAGTTTGAATTTACAAAGTTTTTAAGGAAATTTTTTAAGCTGCATTTTGAAAACAAACATTTAATTGTAAATAAAACATGAAGCAGATAATCTTGTTGATGACAATTGCTGACCATATTTGAACTTGCCGTACCTTCAAGAGTATCTGTCAAATTGTCGTTTCAGTATCTTGCACAGTTTTAGAGAAAATTGCATTCATACAAAGATAAATCAAGATTTTTTGTTTCATATACAAAATCAGAAATCTAAGGGTTTACTTTGTACGGTTGAGATTTTACAAAAAACTATGAAACTAATGAACTAGAAAAGGTCACAATTATAAATTAAAAAGTCAACCACACCAGAAAAACAAGTTTTTAGGACATTTAAAAACACTTTTGAGTTCTCTAATGCCGCTGAAAGTTGAATTTACAAAGTTTTTAAGGAAATTTTTTAAGCTGCATTTTGAAAACAAACATTTCAATTGTAAATAAAACATGAACCAGATAATTTGTTGACAATTGCTGACCATACTTGAACTTGCCGTACCTTCAACAATAATCTGTTAAATTTTCGTTTCAGTATCTTGCATAGTTTTAGAGAAAATCGCATTCATACAAAGATAAATCAAGATTTTTTGTTTCATATACAAATCAGAAATCTAAGGGTTTACTTTGTACGGTTGAGATTTTACAAAAAACTATGAAACTAAGGAACTAGAAAAAGTCAAAATTATAAATTAAAAAGTCAACCACACCAGAAAAACAAGTTTTTAAGACATTTAAAAACACTTGTGAGTTCTCTAATGCCGCTGAAAGTTTGAATTTACAAAGTTTTTAAGGAAATTTTTTAAGCTGCATTTTGAAAACAAACATTTCAATTGTAAATACAACATGAACCAGATAATTTGTTGACAATTGCTGACCATATTTGAACTCGCCGTACCTTCAAGAATAATCTGTTAAATTTTCGTTTCAGTATCTTGCAAAAGTTTCAGAGAAAATTGCATTCATACAAAGATAAATCAAGATTTTTTGTTTCATATACAAAATCAGAAATCTAAGGGTTTACTTTGTACGGTTGAGATTTCACAAAAAACTATGAAACTAAAGAACTAGAAAAAGTCAAAATTATAAATTAAAAAGTCAACCACACCAGAAAAACAAGTTTTTAGGACATTTAAAAACACTTTTGAGTTCTCTAATGCCGCTGAAAGTTTGAGTTTACAAAGTTTTTAAGGAAATTTTAAGCTGCATTTTGAAAACAAACATGTCAATTGTAAAATAAAACATGAACCAGATAAGTTGGTTGACAATTGCTGACCATATTTGAACTCGCCGTACCTTCAAGAGTAATCTGTTAAATTTTCGTTTCAGTATCTCTGCATTAGTTTTAGAGAAAAGTGCATTCATACAAAGATAAATCAAGATTTTTTGTTTCATATACAAAATCAAAATTCTAAGGGTTTACTTTGTACGGTTGAGATTTTACAAAAAACTATGAAACTAAGGAACTAGAAAAAGTCAAAATTATAAATTAAAAAGTCAACCACACCAGAACAACAAGTTTTTAGGACATTTAAAAACACTTTTGAGTTCTCTAATGCCGCTGAAAGTTTGAATTTACAAAGTTTTTAAGGAAATTTTTTAAGCTGCATTTTGAAAACAAACATTTTCAATTGTAAATAAAACATGAACAAGATAATTTGTTGACAATTGCTGACCATATTTGAACTCGCCGTACCTTCAAGAACAATCTATGAAATTTTCGTTTCAGTATCTTGCATAGTTTCAGAGAAAATTGCATTCATACAAAGATAAATCAAGATTTTTTGCTTCATATACAAAATCAGAAATCTGAAGGTTTACTTTGTACGGTTGAGATTTTACAAAAAACTATGAAACTAAGGAACTAGAAAAAGTCAAAATTATCAATTAGAAAGTCAACCACACCAGAAAAACAAGTTTTTAGGACATTTAAAAACACTTTTGAGTTCTCTATGCCGCTGAAAGTTTGAATTTACAAAGTTTTTAAGGAAATTTTTTAAGCTGCATTTTGAAAACAAACATTTCAATTGTAAATAAAACATGAACCAGATAATTTGTTGACAATTGCTGACCATATTTGAACTCGCCGTACCTTAAGAAGAATCTGTTATATTTTCGTTTCAGTATCTTGCATAGTTTCAGAGAAAATTGCATTCATACAAAGATAAATCAAGATTTTTTGTTTCATATACAAAATCAGAAATCTAAGGGTTTACCTTTGTACGGTTGAGATTTTACAAAAAACTATGAAACTAAGGAACTAGAAAAAGTCAAAATTATAAATTAAAAAGTCAACCACACCAGAAAAACAAGTTTTTGAGACATTTAAAAACATTTTTGAGTTCTCTATTGCCGATGAAAGTTTGAAATTACAAAGTTTTTAAAGAAATTTTTTAAGCTGCATTTTGAAAACAAACATTTCAATTGTAAATAAAACATGAACCAGATAATTTGTTGACAATTGCTGACCATTTTTGAATTCGCCGTACCTTCAAGAATAATCTGTTAAATTTTCGTTTCAGTATCTTGCATAGTTTCAGAGAAAATTGCATTCATACAAAGATAAATCAAGATTTTTTGTTTCATATACAAAATCAAAAATCTAAGGGTTTACTTTGTACGGTTGAGACTTTACAAAAAACTATGAAACTAAGGAACTAGAAAAAGTCAAAATCATCAATTAAGAAGTCAACCACACCAGAAAAACAAGTTTTTGAGACATTTAAAAACATTTTTGAGTTCTCTAATGCCGATGAAAGTTTGAAATTACAAAGTTTTTAAGGAAATTTTTTAAGCTGCATTTTGAAAACAAACATTTCAATTGTAAATAAAACATGAACCAGATAATTTGTTGACAATTGCTGACCATATTTGAACTCGCCGTACCTTCAAGAATAATCTGTTAAATTTTCGTTTCAGTATCTTGCATAGTTTCAGAGAAAATTGCATTCATACAAAGATAAATCAAGATTTTTTGTTTCATATACAAAATCAGAAATCTAAGGGTTTACTTTGTACGGTTGAGATTTTACAAAAAACTATGAAACTAAGGAACTAGAAAAAGTCAAAATTATAAATTAAAAAGTCAAAGTTCAACATGGTCACATCAGAAAAAACAGTTTTGACACATTTAAGCACATTTTGAGTTCTCCTAATGCCGATTGAAAAGTTTGAAATTTACAAAGTTTTTATAAGGAAATTTTTTAAGCTGCATTTTGAAAACAAACATTTTCAATTGTAAATAAAACATGAACCAGATAATTGTTGTTGACAATTGCTGACCATTTTGAACTCGCGTACATTCAAGAATATCTGTTAAAGTTTTGTGTTTCAGTATTCTTGCATAGTTTCAGAAGAAAATTGCAATTCATAGACAAAGATAAATACATGATTTTTGTGTTTCATCATACAAAATATTCAGAAATCTAAGGGTTTTACTTTGTACGGTTAGGAGATTTTACAAAAAACTATGAAACTAAGGAACAAGAAAAAGTCACAAATTAATAATAAATTAAAAAGTCCAACACACACCAGAAAACAATGTTTTTGAGATTTTAAAAACTTTTGAGTTCTCTAAATGCCTGCTGAAAGATTTTGAATTTACAAAGTTTTTAAGGAAATTTTTTAAGCTGCATTTTGAAAACAACATTT